AGCAAATGTTTAGCCACCTAACTTTGAAAATTGTGCTCTACACCAACACATAAATCATACACCAACTCATATTGCCTCTCTCTGCCTATGTTTATTCACTACCTATTGTGAGTATAGAATGAAAAATGCAGAGAGAGATGGGATACATGTGCAACCTTATCAGAGTATTTTATTAAAAGTCTTACCCTATTGCCACTAAGCTTAATGGCAAAAGTCCTATTGACTTTAAACCTGATCCTTCTGCTGTTGAGGTTTGCTCTATAGCGAACAAATATATCGCCACACCCCAAAACAACTGGCATAGCTGGCTAATAAAAAGTTGATAACTTGGAAGACACTCAATGTCACCTCTATTTTACGAGTCTCTAATTGTCCTACCCTGGAAAACACTGCATTATTACTAACAACTAGTCTCTTCACAGTCTATCACTTTGAAAAGCTTCTTTAGTACATTAATTTCTAATACTTCACAAAAGAACACTTGCTATTCTATAAGTTTCCATGTATTTGTGGCCACTCGGATTGATTAAATAATTACTGTGAAATGACTTTTTAAAAAATAATATGGATTATCTTTCTCCCTCTTCCTGCCACACACACACATAATAGGCATTATATAAGTATCATGCTTTTCCTTCTTCAGCCATTCTAAACCTCTCCAGTAACATCTTCATTCCCACCCCTTTTGGTGGTTCATGGCGTAATTGCCCTTTGGCTGCTCCTGGTCTCTCTGATTCCTTCAGCAGTAACAGCCCTGGGCTGGTTGTGGTATTTATTTCCTTTCCCTTTTGGCCACTCAAGTTGTCTCAGTTTTTAATGAAAAACCTTCAAACACTCTCTTCTGTATTTTTCCCTCTAAATATACATATATTCAGCACATCTCATCAGAACAAACACTATAAGGATTTTCCATCTTGTTATAGATCAGTTAGATCAGTGTTCTTCAATTCAAGGGCCGCGAGCCAGTGGCAGCTCCCATGGACCCTAAGTGCGGCTCCCTGTCCATCGCACTTTCCAGCAGCAGTGGGGCTACAGCTAAGACAGGCTCCCTGCCTGCCCCGGCGCCACACCACTCCCGGAAGCAGCGCGCATGCCCCCACGGGCCTGGGGGAAGGGGGACAAGCAGAGGAGCAGAGGTCGCCGCATGCTGCTCCTGCCTGCAAGCACCGTCCCCGCAGCTCCCATTGGCCGGGAACAGGGAACTGTGGACAATGGGAGTTGCGGGGGCAGTGCCGTTAGAGAGGGGCAGCACGCAGAGCCACGTGCCCCCTGCCAGGGGCTGGAGGGGCGCATTGGCCCCTTTCAGATATGGCGTGGGGCCTGGGCCACCTGAAGTAAGTGCCATCCCGAAGTAAGTGCCATTCAATGGGCAGGTTCGGAATAGCTATTCCACCACCCAACCTGCAGCCTCCCAGAGCCAGCCCCCAATAGCCCCTCCTGCACCCCAAGCCCCTGCCCTGAGCCCCCTTCCAGAGCCTGCACTCCATACCCCCTCCTGCACCCCATACCCCCTCCTGGAGCCAGCACCCTATACCCCCTCCTGCACCCGAACACTCTGCCCCAGCCTGGAGTCCCCTCCTGCACCCAAACTCCATCCCAGAAATTGCACCCCTCACCCCCTCCTGCACCCCAAGCCCCTGCCCCAGCCCTGAGCCCCCTCCCAGAGTCAGCCCCCCATCCCCCTCCTGCACTCCAAGCAATATTACCAATAATGGCAATATTGCCATATCAACCAACAAAGAACTCGGAGTGTTCAACCGTCTGTGTCGGGTATGTGTTCAATGTGAGAAGCACATCAGCCTGACACAGACGGTTGAAGTTTTTTGCCAAAGTGGCCCCCACTTCAAAAATAGTGACGAGCACTGAGTTAGACCAATCCAAGCAGAAACAAGGAGCATTTTTTAGCTTTGCAAAACCCAAACCAGGCTTTATTTGCACAGATGGACCAGCAGCCAAATTTTAACACTTTGGTGGGTCCATATACATGTTTATTTGATAGTTCAATTCTGTTTCAAATGGAGATGGTCCAACCAAAAGTGGGTTTTGTTTCATAATAACGGAGTGAGATCTTGGTTTTGCAGAAACAAAACCAGAGATAATTCTGATTAGAGACCCATTTATCCCAGCAACTTCTGAAATTTGGGGAGGGAAAACTGAGTAAATAATTTTGTTCCTTTTCTAGTCATGCTTCAGAGAGCTTTTTGTTTTTAAACTGATGCATTGCAATAACTGCTAGTGCTGGGCTAAAGCACATTTTTTCACAATTTGGAAACATTTATTCTTTATTTTTAAACACTGGAGTATTTGAGTTTTTAATGTAACTTATTCTCCATCAGGACTCAGCTCTGCCTAAAGCTTTCTGCAAAGTCAGTGAATGCATGAAGCAACAGTTGCATTAATCTCAAACATGCCATTAATCTCTGAGGTTGGAAAAAGGGTGAATAGCATGACAACTGAAGTACTGTGGTGCTATAATAAGCTTTTTTTAAAGGGTTTTTTTAAGGTGTTTTGTTGTTTTTTTTAGTCTCTCCACTGGCTAATAGAACTAACTGAAAACTTCAAATTATACTGTCTTGAGTCACTCACTTGTATCCAATTTCACATTCTTAAATGGAAATGAGGCCATTCCATATATAAGAAACAGAGTCTTTCATTATTAGGATCAAATTTGACTGTTTAAAACTATCTATTAGAACTGCAGACCAACAGTTAATTTTGTTCTCTTTACTTTTCTTAAAAATATTATTCCCTTTATGTAATAAAATCCAACACAAAGGCCAGTCAACTCCTTTCTTGTTTCAATACTTATATAGGTTCATTAGCAAAATTATTCATATTTTGCTTAAGTAATGAGAGTATTAATTTCAACGTTTAAAGGAAATGCTGTTTGCAAGTGAATGTAAAAGACATTGTACGATGTGTTGTTAAAGTTTCCCCAGCTCTGTGTTCATTGCCAGGACACAAACAAAATTAAGTCTAAAGGAGGAGGACAACAGATTTAAACAAAATCTATACCATAATCCCACCTTGTGCTAATGTCTCATAATACTCATATTCACAAAATCGCCTTGAAATAATTTCAGGGGTGAGGAATACTCCAGGGGCAATGTACTTTTCTGCCCCATCAGGGGGAAAGGAGTGCTCTGACATCAGTCCACATGGGCTAGAAGCACAGTGAAAGAGAGTACCCACATTTTTCCGCCCCCATCCCTGCCAAAGGAATTGCCTTCCATTCTTTTCTAACAGCTCTCTCTGGCAGATGGTTGGATGGTTCCAGAGGTTGCCACAGGCCTAGCTGTCTCTGCTGGGGAGAAGATGACAGAATGCAAGGCCCTTGAACAGGTAACGGCGGATTCTTTCGGCTCACAGGGCCTGAGCCAAAGCATCCTGAATTTAATAGAAAAACTCCCACTGATTTCAGTGGGCTCTAGATCAGGCTCCAACAGGTGCTGAGAAAACAACCTTCAAGTTCCAGAGTAAAATCAACACACGTGTACACACACACACACACACAGAGTTCTTCTATTGCCTAATTTAAATTCAAAATTAATTCACTCAAATAACTTTAACAGAAGACATTCAAATCTTTAACAAGATATTAACCCCCCCACCATTGTCTCTGCTGTCTTAGAAATATGAAGAAATCCTTTTCTATTCCATTTTCTGTTAATGTCTCTCAGTAAAAGATAATGCTTTGTACAGAACAGGGATTTTGTCTACCTCACAGACAGGTGTTAAAAATAAAAAGAAAGAAAAAGAAAAAGCAGCAGCAATCTTTGTATGCAGTAGATATGCAGTTTGAATGAGGACATTTCTTCAGGCCCCCTTTATTATTACCGTATCATTAACAAAACTGCCTACAGAAAAGTAAGTCGAACCTACGGACCTGATCCTCAGCTACGATAAATTGTCAAAGCACCACTAAAGCCTACACAGATGTACCCTAGCTGAGGATCTGTCCCTATATAGAAATAATTGAAGTGAATCCCATCTTATCATCACAAATATTTTATTAACTTCTTTTACTGCACAGATACCTCATGACTAACTCAAATAAAAGCATGAGACTTTTCTTTGTACTGAGGATAGGCTACTGATGGAGGAGAAACTCAGATAAATAACAAACCCTTATCACAAATGCATTAATACAGCTTTCCAGAATCTGGATTCAATTCTGATGTGGTTCCCATTGCTTTAATAAGCCTTTCATTGGTGTCTTAAAAAGCAATAGGGTGTTTAATTATCATTATATTTTTGCCCTCCTTGTTAATCTGAGGGCTTTTTAATTCACTCTTATGACTGCTGCTCTGAACTGTACCTCAGCTACTGTCTCTATGATCTGTACTTGGCCATGAAAGTGACAAAGCGAGGGCAATACTTGCAATGCTTCTAAATTTTCCCCCTGGCTTCATTACTGCTTTATATTGTTGATTATGTCAGTCAGCCAGCTTTGAGTAGCCCGCATGGTAGGCTATGTTTCTAGTCTGAAAATGGCACTCAATCTCTCAGTAAAAAAAAAATCTTGCTTGCTTTTGAGAGACCTTGAGGTACAGCTCTGTCCAAATGAAGGCTCTAATTCCAGACTCCATTAGCATTAAGAACCACTTATCAGATGCTGCAAAGCTTTATTGCTTTCCACCTGGCCTAGATAACTTAGATTCCTGAGTATACAATACTAGCGAGGATAGTGCTACAACCCTTCTTTGTTTTACAGAGCTGCACAGCTAAATACTATGTAAATGCAGGAAGTACCATACTGCCATCTACAGACAGGAATATCCCCTAATATAATCATTCAGTACTAAATTTTCCCACAGCCAAGAGTCACTTTATTCTAATTTTCTCCTTTTAACATTGATGAATCACAAACTGTTTACACTTCAATGTCTCAGCCAAGCATGAACTTTCAGGCTTTTAATCTTTATAGACAAAGTTATTCTGCAGAGCTTAGGGGTACAGACAGAGAAAGAGAGAGTGAGCAGCTAGAAACTTTGTATTACCTGTCTGGTGTGGATGGGGCCTGGGGTCTTGAAGCCACCTTGACAGCTGCATTCGGAGACACTATAAGGGTCCGAGCTGCTTGAGGAGCACTTGGAGAGCGAGTCACAACCCACCACAAAGGTGTTATCCAGAGGCAGTTCCTGAATGACATGGTGCTTCTTAGGGGGCACAGGAGTCTCGGGTTTAATTTGAAAGGTGGGCTGTGGAGAGGCAGACTTGTAATGCTTTGCTAAATCTGGGCTGTCAGGCTTAAATGTGGTTGGTGTAGTGGCCCAGTTATATTTTCCCATAGTCTGTTCTTCTAGCTCTACGGGAATGTCTAAAGTGCCATTTATATGCTCATGGGCAGGATCGTCGGGCTTAGATTCTTCAATTGTCACAAAGTTGAGAAGGAGGCTTTTTGGAGAGCGCTTCTTTTTCTTCTTCTTCTTCTTGATCTGTCGGTTCTCCTGGTTCGGGGAGACCCATTCCCCACTCTGCTTGCTTTTTTGGACAACCTTGTGCCGGGGTGTCTGGCGGCATCGTACCAAAGCAGTGACAAAAATGACCAGGATGACTGTCATGGTGCCTGCAATTATAGCAATGATGATTTTGACATAGTCATTGGTCTGTGGGGTTATCTCACCATCCCCAACATTCTGGCCCACTGGTGTTTCCATATTTCTGCGCACCATCTCCTGCACGTATGAGCCATTGGTGATGGTTTCATTCACAAATAAATGCACCAGTGCTATGGTATAAAGAGACTCTGGCTGTCCTAAATCATTGACTTTTATCACCAGTCTATGTAAGCCATGATCTGCTGTGATTACCTTCTCTTTCAAAGTAATGTTGCCTGTTAACTGATCGATTGTAAACAAACCTCTCGAGTTCCCACCTATAATGCTGTAGCGGAGCTCTGCATTCATCCCTGTATCATTGTCAACTGCAAAGACTTTAGTCACCACGGACCCTGGATTGGTGGCTGTGGGAATCAAGTCATAGGAGTAGTTAGATGAAGGGATGACGAAAACCGGCCTGTTGTCATTCACGTCAACTACATTTATGGTCACTTTGGCAGTGGAAGAGCGTTGCACTCTTCCTCCATCAACAGCCTTCACCTGGAAAGTGTAAGAACCTTGTTGCTCTCTATCAAATGTAATATTGGGTCTTATTACACCAGTAAGTGGATCGATAATGAAATTCTCTCTGCCATTTAATATAGAGAGAGTAACTGCAGCATTCTCTCCAGAGTCAGCATCAGTAACTGTGATGAGCCCCACTGTGCCATACATGGGCAGGTTTTCTGGCACATAGAAATTGTATTCATTGTGGGTAAAAGCAGGGCTGTTATCATTCTGGTCCAGAACTGATAGTGTCACAGTAGCATTGGTCTGCAATGGTGGCATCCCATTATCCCTAGCCAGTACAGTGAAGGAGTACCTGTCCTGCTTTTCCCTGTCCAGCTTTCTTACTGCTGTCAGAACTCCTGTGCGACGATCCAGGTTGAAAATGGGGGGTGCATCTGAACCCAGCATATAGCTGATCTCAGCATTGCGTCCACTGTCTGCATCTGTGGCACTGATCTTGGTCAGCTGGGTACCAGGAGCATTGTTCTCAGGAATGGAAAGTCCTATGACAGGCTGTGTGAAAACTGGGGCATTGTCATTCTCATCTTTGATTTTGATCAGCAGCATTGCTGACTGATTTAAGGGAGGTTTCCCTGAATCAGAGGCCACTATTTTAATGGCATATTCTCGTGTAGCCTCATAGTCTAGAAATGTGGCAGTCTCCAATAGAAATTGGTTATCAAACACTGGCTTTAACCTAAAAGGGACATCATGGTCTGTGAAGCAGGTAACTTTTCCATTCAGATCAGCATCCTTGTCCGTTACTGTAATCAGGGCAATTTTTGTATTGAGAGGTGCTTTCTCAGACAGGAGCACAGTCCCATTCACTGGATTGATGATGTATCTTGTGTCTATGGATGGAACATTATCATTAATATCTGTGATATTTACCGTCACTGTTGCTCTTGATGGAGTTGAGCTGCCATCACTTGCCAAAACAGTTAACTTGTGTACTGGTGACTCCTCCCTGTCCAGTGGTTCCTTAATTGTGATGAGGCCAGTAGTGTTATCTAAGGCAAAGAGCCTTTTGGCCAGACTGGAGATCTGATTGCTGAAAAAGAAGTGGATCTGTGCATTTGAGCCCAGATCAGCGTCAGTGGCATGGAGCTGAGAAACTGAGGTGCCCACTGGAGCATTTTCTGGAATGCTAACTTCAATGTCATTTTCCTTAAAGACTGGGCGATTGTCATTCACATCAGTAACTGTTACTTGTAGGATGGCTGTACTGGATCTGGGAGGTGTTCCACCATCTTCAACTTTAATCTTCATCACATATGTGTCTTTCTGCTCCCTGTCCAGGATCTGCTGGACAATCAACTGTGGCCACTTATCTCCCTCAGGTGTTTCAATTATATCAAGTCCAAATACATTTTGACCCTAGAAGACACAGAAGGAAGAACAATTTTTATTATGAAAATATATTACAAATAGATACACACATCTTTACTGTACACAGGGATCCCATGAAAATACCTTTATAGGTGTATTTATACATTTACTGCTAGATTAAGCCTTTAGCCTTTGCCTTAAGTACGGGGCTGTGTGTACCTGTGCCTCCCTAGTAGCAGGCCTGAGCAGGAATGGTGTTTCAGAGCATCAAGGTTTCTTTTACAGCTCCAGCTCAAATTACAGCAACTACTGAAAACATATGGCTCACTTCCTATTTTACACCTAGCTGGGGGGTGGGGGAGAAGGGGAGAAGATGTCAAGGCTCGACTTACATCAGACCCCATGCTCACAGAGGGGCAGTATCCACAGGGCTAGGGCTGTGCCCCACAACAAGGCTGGACCCAAGATTTGGGGAGGGCAAGCAAAAGCACAGGGGGACTTAATCCCCAGTTCAGCAAAGCAAGACAAGCGTACAACCGGTAGCATTTAGAGAAAAGAAAAACTACACCATATTGAAAAGGGGATTACCACATAATTTAAGATTCAAGTGGCACAGTCACAACTGAGACATGTTAGGTTATTAGAAATACATGAAAATCAGGAAGAATTATTCCCCTTTTCATCACTATGTATTTCATATTTGCAGTGAAAAATACATTCCAAGTGTGAAAATAAGATGATTTTCTTATGAATAATATCATAGGACTATTGCATTTACACTCTGAGTAATAAGATCCTGTAATAGGGTGTGTTGAACACTTTATGCCCTTCTTACAGCAAGTAATGCATTTATATGTGCAGACACTGTAAAAACACAGCTTTTCTCAAACTATGGGATGGACAGAGTGGTCTGAAAGTAATGTGCTGTCCTACAGGTGGGAGACTGGAGTCTGGTTCCCACTGCTGGTATCTCTCTGAGCCAGCAGATGCTGGAAATCTTGCAAAGGGAGCATATACATCCCCTAAGGAGAAGGAAGTGATTAGCAACGATCAATAGCAATCTGTCTGACTGATGAAGAATAGTGTTGACAGATTCCAAAGGGAATCCTGACAGTCTTATCTCCCCAGAAGGATTGGGCCCATAATGCAGGCATTGAAGATGGGAGTGTAACATGGGTGAAAACGGGGGCTCAGTGAAGCTCAGATAGGATAGGGGGGAAGAGAACAGTTAGGATTTTACGTATTTATTTGTTTTTAAGAACATTAAACTCTCGTTATGCCTGTCATGTTTATAGTCAGAAACTGTGCTGCTGACCTAGCCCTTGCTATACTCATGATGGGACTGCTTCTGCCACCCTTACTCACACTGAGTAGTAACTTACTGCATGAGTATCTCCATTGGCTTTAATGGGTCTACTCACTTAGCAAGCAGCTACTAAGCATGAGTAAGGGTGGCAAAATTGGACCTTCTATAGTTTTATTTATTCATTTTAATTTATACACAAATTGCTAAAAGAGCATCTCTCCATGGCTCTCGATTCCGCCAATAAAATTTATAAAGACAACTGTTTGTTTAATTTACAACTAACATTAACCAGATGTAAAAATGAAACATCAGCTCTTCCCACCTACATCTTCATGACACTCCCAACCCATCACCAAAGGTTAGGGGGATGAGATAGACTTTGCAGTGCACACTACAAATCATGCAATTTAGGGTATTTAACACCCTGCGTGGGAGACGGGTTTCCAGTGTGGAGGATTCCACATTTGGAATGGTTAGTAAGAAGCAAGACTACATTGTACCCTGCTACCCACAATTAAATCAGTACCTATATGGGCCTAATGCTGCCTTTGTGCATCTTCCATTGTCATAAATAGTACCAGGGCTGTTGCAGATGAGGGCAGAATTTGACTCTATCCATTGCAGCAAACATTTCTTTTGTGGAAAAGCTGCAACATCTCCATTTCAAATAAAATAACCCAACTCTCTACCCCTGGTACAGTGTCTGTCACCCCAATAAGTAAAGACCCATGGCGATGTATAAGAGAAACATGGATTGGAAAACAGATCTTTAAAGTTATGAAAACAAATGTAGATCTTGCTTTTTCACTGGAAGATGAGTGAAGAAACCAACCTTGCTAAGTGTGTCCGAATCAGGTTCCATATGCTACGAACCAAAGGGGTTAATTTCTAAAGCAGCGACCCCATGACAGACCTTCTGTTTATTAAAGACAAGTGAATCTTCTCCCTCAATGATAGGATTATCATGAGTAGATTACTGCAGGCAACCTTGCTAGCAGTTGTTTAATTTGGACTAAGGCTCTTATTTGTTGCAAAAATGCTGAATTAAATAAACTGCTCTTTCAACACTGATTTCCAGAAAAACCTAGCAAGAGTGGGGGAAAAAAAGTCAGCTTTCCTTCAGTTCTTTATTTGCACACAAGCTGACAGATGTGCATTGATTATTCTGTCATTAGCTCCTGCAACTACAACAAACACTATATACAGACTTTTAATTCATGAAAATGCATACCCAATTTAGCTTTTCTTTAACTATCACATATGACAAGAGACACATTTTTCATTATAGCATATGATTTTGGCTTAAACATATACCTTCAGTTCCCTGTCACTAGCAGTAAATTGTTGAGGAAACAGCAAAAAATCCAACACAAATTAGAATCTTTACTGAAAATATCAACATTTTAACAAAATGTTTAATGCAAAATTGCTACCATATAGAATACCATACCATATATGCTACCATATAGTAATAGGGATTAAGTAAATACAGAGTTCTATAGAAATTATTCTAAAAAAAATACCAAATATAATTGAGAACTAGCTCTTCTATGCAATTTTTAAACTGATCTACAGCAATACATAGAAAATTACATTCCTGTTATATTAGAGTATGTCTACACAGCTGCCGGGAGCGAATCTCTCAGCCCTGGTTGCCAGACTTCTGATAGCAGGTCTCATGCTGGTGCGCTGAAAATAACAATGTGGAAGTTCGAGCTTCAGAACTTCAGAGCCTGAGCCCGAACATAAAAGCAATGTCTACACAGCTATTTTTAGTGCACTGGCACAGTCCCTGCCACCACATCTGTTGGCCCCAGCAGCTGTGTAGCCATACCCTCATAGGTTAATTTTAAAATGGTAAAGAGAAGTTATTGTTCACCTTTAAACTCCACAGGATCAGATCTTTCCATATGGAGTGCAGACTCTTAGGCCTGATCGACACTACAAGTTTATGTCGAATTTAGCAGCGTTAAATTGAATTAACTCTGCACCCATCGACACAACAAAGCCATTTTTTTCAACATAAAGAGCTCTTAAAATTGATTTCTGTACCCCTCCCTGACGAGGGGATTAGCACTGAAATCGACATCGCCATTTTGAATTAGGGTTAGTGTGGACGCAATTCAACGGTATTGACCTCCGGGAGCTATCCCACAGTGCACCATTGTGACTGCTCTGGACAGCACTCTGAACTCGGATGCACTGGCCAGGTGCACTGGAAAAGCCCCGGGAACTTTTGAATCTCATTTCCTGTTTGGCCAGGCGAGCTCATCAGCAAGGTGACCAGGCAGAACTCATCAGCACAGGTAACCATGCAGTCCCAGAATCAAAAAAGAGCTCCAGCATGGACTGAACGGGAGGTACTAGATCTGATCGCTGTATGGGGAGACAAATCTGTGCTATCAGAACTACATTCCAAAAGATGAAATGCCAAAACATTTAAAAAAATCTCCGAGGCCATGATGGACAGAGGCTACAGCAGGGACGCAACACAGTGCCTCGTGAAACATAAGGACCTCAGACAAGCGTACCAGAAAACCAAAGAATCAAATGGACGCTCCAGGACAGAGACCCAGACATACCACTTCTACGCTGAGCTGCATGCAATTTGGGGAGGGGGGGCATCACCACTACCCCACCCCTGTCCGTAGACTCCGATGATGGGGTACTCTCCGCCATGCCTGAGGATTTGGCAGATGGGGAAGATGAGGAGGAGGAGGACGAGCTTGAGGCGAGCACACAGCACACCGTTGTCCCTGACAGTCAGGATCTTTTTATCACCCTGACTGAAATACTCTCCCAACCCAACCACGCCGGAGAAGGGACCTCTGGTGAGTGTACTTTTTTAGATATAATACATGTTATAAAAGCAAGCATTTTTAATATTAATTTGCCCTGAAGACTTGGGATGCATTTGTGGCCAGTACAGCTACTGGAAAAGTCTGTTAACGTGTCTGGGGATGGAGCGGAAATCCTCCAGGGACATCTCCATGAAGCTCTCCTGGAGGTACTCTAAAAGCCTTTGTAGAAGGTTTCTGGGGAGAGCAGCCTTATTCCGTCCTCCATGGTAGGACACTTTACCATGTCATGCAAGTAGCAAGTAATCTGGTATCATTGCATGACAAAGCCTGGCAGCGTATGGTCCCAGTGTTTGCTGGCACTCAAGCAACATCCATTCTTTATCTCTCTGTGTTATCCTCAGGAGAGTGATATCGTTCATGGTAACCTGGTTGAAATATGGGAATTTAATTAAGGGGACATTCAGAGGTAGCTGTTCCTACTGGGCTGTTTGCCTGTGGCTGAAAAGAAATCCTCCCCGCAGTTAGCCAAGCAGTGGGGGGGGAAAGCATTGGCGCTGAGCTGTTCGCATTTGGCTAGCAGGAATCTTCCCTGATACTAGCCACACAGTGGGGGGAGGGGTAAAGCGATCAACCCAGATAATTGGATGTGGGGGGGGGTTAGTTTGGTTTCTGCTGCTGCACGTTAACAGGAAAACCGAAGCACTAAATGGTCAACTCAATGGGCTTTGCTTGGTATGGGAAAGGAGGGCGCTGCTGTTATGAAGGTTGCAGAAGCCGAAAGACTATGGCTTACCATGGCCGCCTGCAAGCCGAATTTTGTTGCCTGGCACTGCGTGTGTGATCTCTAACACCAAAGCCGTAGGCACTCAATATAAGATGCAAAATGCGACCTCGTACCAAAATCACATCTGTTATGTAATGTGAATAGTGTTGTTCACTGTGAAAGAGTCTGTAAAATATATCTTTTTAAATACTTTTTTTCCCTCCCGCAGCTGCAAATGTTTCAAGCCTCCCTTCTCCATCCCAAAGGCTATCTCAGATAAGGCGGTGAAAAAAATGCACGCGCTATAAAATGTTCTCTGAGCTCATGCAGTTGTCCGGCACTGACAGAGCTCAGCAGAATGTGTGGAGCAACCCAGTAGCACAGTACAGGAAAGCAGCCAATGAACATGAGGACAGGAGGGACGATCAAGATGAGAGGTGGCGGCAGGAAGATCAGAGGAGGCAGGATGCAACGCTGGGGCTAATGGGGGAGCAAACGGACATGCTCCGGCATCTGGTGGAGGTTCAGGAATGGCAGCAGGATCACAGACTGCTGCTGCAGCCCCGGTTTAACTGCCCTTCCTCCTCCCCAAGTTCCATAGCCTCCTCACCAGATGCCCAAGAACGCGGTGGGGGGGAAGGCTCGGGCACCCAACCACTCCACCCCAGTGGACAGCCCAAGCAACAGAAGGCTGTCATTCAACAAGTTTTGAAGTGGCCTTTTCCTTCTCTCCTACCTTCCTCCCACACCCCACCCGAGCTACCTTGTGAGTTATCTCCCTATTTTTATAATTAATTAATAAAGAATAGATGTTTTTTAAATGATAGTGACTTTATTTCCTTTGCAAGCAAGCTGTGATCAAAAGGGGGAGGGCGGGTAGCTTACAGGGAATTTAGAGGCAACCAAGGAGGTGAGTTTTCATCAAGGAGAAACAAACAGAAGTGTCACACAGTACCCTGCTCAGTCATGAAACTGTTTTTCAAAGCTTCTCTGATGCGCAGCGCTTCCTGCTGTGCTCTTCTAATCGCGCTGGTGTCTGGCTGCGCGTATTCAGTGCCCAGGCGATTTGCCTCAACCTCCCACCCCACTATAAACGTCTCCCCCTTACTCTCTCAGAGATTGTGGAGCACACAGCAAGCAGCAATAACAATGGGAATACTGGTTTCGCTGAGGTCTGAGCGAGTCAGTAAACTGCGCCAGCGACCCTTTAAACATCCAAATGCACACTCTACCACCATTCTGCACTTGCTCAGCCTATAGGTGAACAGCTCCTTTCTACTGTCCAGGCTGCCTGTGTACAGCTTCATGAGCCAGGGCATTAAGGGGTAGGCTGGGTCCCCAAGAATAACTATAGGCATTTCAACATACCCAACAGTTATTTTCTGGTCTGGGAAGTAAATCCCTTCCTGCTGCCGTTTAAACAGACCAGAATTCCTGAAGATGCGAGTGTCATGAACCTTTCTCGGCCATCCCACGTTGATGTCGGTGAAATGTCCCTTGTGATCCACCAGTGCTTGCAGCACCATTGAAAAGTACCCCTTGCGCTTTATGTACTGGCTGCCCTGGTGATCCGGGCCCAAGATAGGGATATGCATTCCGTTTATAGCCCCACCACAGTTAGGGAATCCCATTGCAGCAAAGCCATCTAGTATGACCTGCACATTTCCCAGAGTCACTACCTTTGATAGCAGCAGTTCAATGATTGCACTGGCTACTTGCATCACAGCAACCCCCATAGTAGATTTGCCCACTCCAAATTGATTACTGACTGACCGGTAGCTGTCTGGCGTTGCAAGCTTCCACAGGGCTATTGCCACTCGCTTCTCAACTGTGAGGGCTGCTCTCATCTTGGTATTCTTGCACTTCAGGGCAGGGGAAAGCAAGTCACAAAGTTCCATGAAAGTGCCCTATCGCATGCGAAAGTTTCGGAGCTACTGGGAATCATCCCAAACCTGCAACAGTATGTGGTCCCACCAGACTGTGCTTGTTTCCTGGGCCCAGAATCAGCATTCCATGGCACGAGCCTGCCCCATTAACACCATGATCTCCAAATTGCCGGGGATCATGGTTTTAGAGAAGTCTGCATCCATGTCCTCATCACTCTCATCACTGTGCTGCCGTCGCCTCCTCACCTGGTTTTTCAAGTTCTGGTTCTGCATAAACTGCACCATAATGCGCAAGGTGTTTACAATGGTCATAACTGCTGCGGTGAGTTGAACGGGCTCCGTGCTTGCCGAGCTACGGCGTCTGCTCGGGCAGTCCAGGGAAAAGGGCACGAAATGATTGTCTGCTGTTGCTTTCATGGAGGCAGGGTTGACTGACGACATTTACCCACAACCACCTGTGACAAATTTTTGGCCCCATCAGGCATTGGGAGCTCAGCCCAGAATTCCAATGGGCAGCGGGGACTGCGGGAACTGTGGGATAGCTACCCACAATGCACCACTCAGAATGTGAACGCTTGCCACGGTACTGTAGATGCACACCACCAAATTAATGTGCTTAGTGTGGATGAATGCACACAATCTGTTCCCAAAAATTAACTTCTGTAAAATAGGAGTAATTCCGTAGTGTAGACATACCCTTACACTCATCTTTTCCTTCCATCCCTTTTATTGCCAAAGTGACAGCTGTGAGTAGTTAGGATATGGTCTAACCACATATACCTAATGATTCCGCCCTTCTGGCAGAATTCTTTGCTAACATCCTATAGAATATTATTGAGAATTATATGCCTGCTATAGAATTCTTTAGGTTTTTTTTTTTAAAAAAAAAGCAACAGAAAGGATATCAGTCTATACATTTCATAGGTTTTTAAAAGTAATATCTATAAAACCATAGTAGTTTCATTCCTCTTAAATGGTACAGGACTTTTCTACAGTGTTTTCTTATACAACTGTAAATATCTTAAGGGTCACTATGCTGACACAACACATGCATAGCTGTAGTAGATGTCTTTTGTAATTACAATTATAACTTTAATACTCACAGAAAAAGTATAAATACACACAAAGCCAAGCTTAGGGTGCCTAGGGTCAAAGGCATATTTTAAATTGTGCAAAATACATAAGTGGCAGTAAAGCCAGTCAAAATGACAATTAATGCAGATTTTGTTTTAACAAACCAATTCAAGCATACCTATGGTTCATATGGTTGAAATGAATAAGAACAGGGACTGTGCCATTAAATAGACACTTTAACACACCTACCGTGTGAAAGCTCTCCCACTTTAAACAATCTTTGAAAAATGTTGAAACATGCAGCAACAAAAGGGACTATAAGGCTCTGACCGACTCCTCCATGACTAAAAAAATTTAGAGTTAAGAATGATAATCTAGGCTGAGCTATCAGCTTTAACTCTCACCAAACAAACAGAGAGGATGAAATTCTGACTCCACTGAAGCTAATGGGAACATTGGTACTGACTTCAAGAGGTCAGGATTTCACCCATAGGGCCAGATTCTGACACCCTTATTCACCAAGATGTCCCACTGCATCACTGGGATTATTCCTGGTGTTGGTGCTGCTCAACAGCAGCAAAGGTATCAGAATTTAGCTCATACTATAAATATAATAGAAAGTTATCCCATATAAAGTATTGTTCACCTTCAAAGTGCTTTACAAACAATACTCTTAAAACTGGGAAGTATTATCCCAATTTTTTGATGTGGGTAACAGAGCAAGAGTTAAATTATCTCCTTTTAAGACATGCTAAGCACTGTAACTCCCATCTATTCAAGGCAAAAGAGGCTTCTCTTGCCAGAGCCAAGATTAGCATTAAGGAGCTCCTGGCTCAGACCATGAGACTCTCTCTCTCTCTCTCAAAAGATAAGCACAGTGATATGCACTTAAGCAATAGTATCAGCCCAGATTTTCAGCTTAAACTCTGCTTCCTCACATTATAAGACCACTCACTTCACTGGAGTCATGCATTACATTGAGAGGTTCCTGTAATTACAAATCAGTATTTTTGTTGAAAGAACTCTCTGCTATATTTACCTGATCATTCGTAATGGATCCAAATGTCCTTTTCGGTGCTGTTTTGGGCTGTCATGCAAATACAAAATTAGAAAGTTTTTAAAATGTGTAACATTGAAGTAGTTGAACTACATCGAACACAACATTGAACACAACTATTCAAACGCGGACACTCAACATAGTGGACTGGAACAGTTCTTTGGGTGCTACAACAGGCTAGTGTGCTGGGACTTAAGAGGGGGCTCCTAGGGTCCAGTCCTATAAAAACTTGCTTCTGGCATATGCGATTCTGCAGCATCACAAGCTGTCTCATTGAACTCAGTGGGATTCAGATTCTGGAGTAAGAGCTAAGCCTAGCAGGAAATATTTGCATGATTGGGCTCTTAGTTGGCAGATCACTGACTGGATGAACTGGAAAAGCAAAGCCATGGGTCAGTGCAGGCACCATTAACATGGCCTGCCGTGGCCAAGACTACTCAGGAAATTAAGTTTGCGAACCAATAAACGGATGGACAGTAATAGCTCTATTGGATTCTGATAAACTGATAGACCACAATGGCTTCTTAAATAAATAGAGCCCAAACCTCCCAACTATGGTAAAAAAATTCACATTAAAAATGTACAACACTCTGTGATGCATAGCACTTTGGATTTTAAAAGGGAATCAGGGTTTGTGATTATTTTTGAGACCATCAGAGAGTATTTGTTCAGTAATACACAAATAAGGGGTAGATCCTGTAAGGTGCATAGTGTGCTTATATTTCACTAAAGCAGAATGCTCAGCACCTTACAGAAACAGGCCCTGATTGGCAAGAAAACTCATTCTTAATATTGAAGGTCTTGTTTCTGCAGGCATGTTTATCTTAAGGCAATTTACTCACAGTGCATAAAATTAAGCATATTTTAACAGGGTGAGGTCCTAAATCTTTTTAGCAGATTGTACAAATGACAAAATCTATACAGAATGTATATAAGAAATATTCAAAGTGATAATAAAATATACAATGAGCAAGTGGGCCAATACAGTTTAACCATCCTAAAATGTAGGAACCTACCATACAAAACGCTTGTGGTTAGATAATCCTGGCATCAAACTGTGAATCAGCTATAACGGTTTCCTGACTCCTTGGTACAAAATTATTTTAAATAGATAAGTCATTTGCAAAAATAATACTTTAATAAGAAAATCTTCAATATATAAGCATCTTGCATCCAAAGGATCCTAAAGTGCTTAAGAACCACCCCTTCCCACTGAAATAGCTCAGCTGTTTGCTGGCTGATGAACATTTCAGGTATAGCCAAGTAGGAAACACTTGCAGTTCTGCTGAACATACAAGGTAGGTCCCAATGTTCTGTTGTTGTCAAGAGAATTCCTATGGAACACTGTAGCACAGCAGGTGCAGTCGAGAATGAGCCAAGAGAAAGGATTACAGTAACACGGGCACATAAGATTTCCAATGCAAAATTATACAGGAGCTGCAAAATGGGACAGATCAGTTTTCTGATTTTGTTTTTAAAAAGCGTGCATTTTTCTTTCGAGCTTGACACTTTGAATGTGAAACGTGTAAATTCCCACAGATGAAGCAGTTTGCTGATACCACAGTACAAGCGTCATAATAGTGTGATGCGGAGAATTTGTGTTGGAGGGGAAACTTAAAGGTGGCAGCCCTGGTTACCCAGGATAAGAGAGAGCCTGAAAAATACAAGAGACATTACTCTCAGTTTTTCTGCAATAACATTAAATTTACCTTCCCAAGCATTTCAGTGCTTGTGTATTCCTCCTAAACCTCCTTTTTGTTCAGATTACAATACTTTGGACCACTTATTGATTCTCTGCTGACTTGCCCATTGTATTTCTTCCCTTTCTCTCCCTTTTGGAATAATGGTTCCTTATCTGTACTTTGTGCTGAGCCCCGCCTAGTATTATGCTCGCTATCAATATAATGTAAGTAGTTAGGCTTTGAGTGTATGGATAGGAAAGCTTTGCTTGTGATTTACAGGTGGGGTGGCTCTTGTATTTTTCAGGCTCTCTCATATCCTGGGTAACCAGGGCTGCCACCTTTAACAATTTCCTCTCCAACACAAATTCTCCATATCACACTATTATGATGCTTGTACTGTGGTATCAGCACACTGCTTCATCTCATCAGGATGTAACCTCATGACAGCATGAAATAATTTGAAGGTCACTTGAGTGGTTCTACAAACTTAGCTCAAATGGACTCCTATCGGGGTGCATCACCAAAGCAGCCAAGTGTCTCAAAAGCATTAATTAATGTGTTCTCACAATACTTTGAGGTAAGGAAGTATTACTACTCCCATTTTACAGATGGGGTCCTGAGACAGAGAGAGAGTACATCACTTGTCCCACATCATGCAAAGAGTCCATGGCACATCCAGAAACTGAACTCGCTCTCTTGAGTACCACTCCAAGGTGTTAAACTCAAAATCATCCTTCTTTTACGGACAGTTTCCACAAAACAGGGACAGGTAACAAATGTAGGTAGGAGAACTAGAAAAGTGGATTCTTCTCCACATCACATCCCATTATATATGTTGAGAGACATACACACACACTCTACTGAACAGGAGATTGATTAAGTACATGATGGACAGTTTAAGGTATTGAATATGACTGAGTGTTGTTCTAAATGCTTCCATTTTTCCATAGCCTGAAGGAGGGTTCCAGAAACATTTCCTGTCCCAGCAATTTTCCCCTTCCTTGTAATGGCACTAGAATTTATACAGGGAAGAAAGGACTTGGGGTTTACGCTAGGTATCTCATTGTTCTTTATTTTATTATAAAATAGAATTTTTATGATACCATATTCTACATGTCACACCATTATAGATTTGATGCATTTGCCAGTTAAGGTTAACAGGGACCAAAGAACCAAACATCTGTAAATATATGATTACACATTTCATGGATATCACTTACCAAAACATAACTGTGGTTCGGGAAGTGTCAGGCAGAAAGCTATTCTGGGTACTCTCTCAACAAAAGCTAAATAAAGAGCCCATTCTGCTGTGTCCGCCAGAACAAGGCACCTTGAGATTCTAAATACATTTTTAGAGTTATCGGATGACCAGGAGTTTGAGCAATGTGGACCTGCAATACACCCTATTCCTTCCCTGCTCTGTAACCAGGTAGACTGTCAAGAAGAAGAAGATTCAGACTGACATCCACTTGTGCACAGGAAAACACAGGCAATTGTGTTCCTTACCTTAAAACAGATGCTGCTCAGCACACGTACCACTTCCATCCATTTCAATGGGAATTGAGGGTGATGGACATATGGCTTTAGAGAGACAAGGCAGATGAGGTAATATTTATTGGACCAACATCTGTTGGCAAGAGAGACAAGTTTACGAGCGATATAGACTTTTCCTCGGCTTTTTGAGCTCTGTGTAGCTCAAAAGTTTGTCTCTCTCACCAACAGAAGTTAGTCCAATAAAAGATATTACCCCACCCACCTTGGCTCTCTAATATCCTGGGATCAACACAGCTACAACAAAACTGCATACATGTGGCTTTGGCTCATAAAGCATGGAAAACAGAAACAAAAAGCCCTTTGACACTATTAAAAAGTAGTGCAAATAGCCAGAAATTCATGCCCATTAAGTCTATACCTCAATCTCATTTCATTCCCTCCCCCTCCGACCCTAAACAAATACCTGAAGGAAATATGCACATGCCTCCCAAATTTTCTTTTAAGAGACAGAAACTTTACTGAGTTATATAGGTGCAAAAAAAGAAATTTGAACCCTTTGATTTTGTATTCATACACTGAAGTTATTTTGCATCATATCTTTTTTGATGTGAGGCCCTTGTAAGCCAAAGTGGGTGAAATTTTTGCATCTTGGTGATATTGTTTACTTTTAGGGAAAATGTTGACAAAATCTTTGTGTGGGTTACATGGGTAACATAAACACAGGCGCTTAACTAGAGATATAGGTGCCTAAATAAGCACAGTAAAAAATAAAAAACAAAATAATGTGTTCTCTTGACTTACATCATAAAAGGGCATTCTTTGATGTACCCTTACTATACCTTTATGTCAAAGTTTTCATTGCTTTATGAATTATGACATTTAAAAGAAGAACACTTTGATCTCAGATTCAGGAAACTTCCAATTCACGTTTGAAATTATGCACACTTATGGAATGCCCAATAATCTCATGCAATAGAGCTTTCTCCCTTCATCTGTTAGTGATATTTCTCTCCCCCACCCCTACACACACATTCACAAATAAACTTGGGGGGAGGTGTATGCCTCGGGGTAAAAACTACTGAAATACATATGATGGTAAGACCTTCCAAAATCTTTCTTCTTTGTGGGGATTTGTAAGCTCAAAGAGAAAGTTTGTGTTGAACATTGAACTCCCCAGGGGATCATTTCTACTTTTGAGAAAAAAGAAAAAGATATGCTTTTCCAAAAAAAAAAAAAAGTTATCCTTTTTTGTATTGTTCTGGGAAAGACATAGCTGAGCCACCTTACTAAAATTTGAAAGGTGCTTGACATATGCATGTACAAGATGCCACTTCACTGACTATTGGAAGACAAATAACAGTGCACTTTCAGAGTTATAAATCTGGTACAGTTGCCCAGAAGAATCATCTAGTGCCAGTAAGTACTAAAAATAGTTGCAGAGATTGGATTCTAAAACTGATTAAATAAAGGCTGTTTACTGTGTTGATCAGGGAATGCTCACGACAGACCAAAAATCTGTTTCTGAACTTTTCTGGTGCTTGATTTATCAGGAAACCAACTTGACATCCCCACTCCCCCCCTCCAACATCCCTACTGTCACTCATTGGTATATATCAGAGTCAATACAAGAAAAGCATGAGTTCCAAAAAGATAAAATATTTCCCTGCTGTATTGTGACAGGGCCACTTTGGAAGTAAACAATGAAACAAAATGACAGCATACGGTATAAATATAGTGAAAACTACAATAGATAAATCTTCATTTCACTAAGTATTATTATCTAGCAATTTGTGGTATTACTGAAAATACCTTCCTTGTGACTTGATTCGGATTAAAAATCCTGGGATCAAAGGA